CAGCAGGCGACTTGACTGGAGAAGGAGACCTGACTGTGGGAGCCTCAGGCCCGCTCGCCTGCTTCACGAGCAAACCAGTGGCTTACCTGGCCGGCGTTGGGCCAGATCCACCGGCCGAACCCCAGTCCCAGTTCCCTCGACCGTCCCGTTTCCCCGTCCACGTCCCCTGGTCCACTGCTCAGGTACCTTACCTTGCCTTGCTCTACCTTTGTCTCTGCCTGCCGTGCCTGTCCGCTGCCAGTTCTAGAGCCTATGGTCCCTACTTGAGGTTCCTAAGGTACCTGCCTACAGCGCCCGTGCACAGGTCCGTTTGTGCCCGGTTCGTACCTGGCTGTGCTTGTGCTTCGCCCTTTCCCTCTCGCTCTCTCTCTCTTTTCGCCCTCCAACCCCGACCGTCGCCTCTCTCACCCTCCTCCCCATCCCATCCCCGTCCGTCCTCTCCTCCACACCACGCCATCGTGGCCCTCCTGACGTCTCTCCTCGGTCCTGCTCGTCCATCTTCGCCTCTGGACGACAACCTCTTCACCGAGTCAGAGCTGCTTGCTGCGTCTGCGTCTTCTATTGCATCTGAGCGTGCAGCTGCAATTGCGTCTCGCACAGCACCGGGTACCATCCACTTCGCTGTCCCTTGCCCCTGGCCCAAGGTTCTAGTGTCGGTGACTAGACACGACAATACGCCTTCGCCTTCAGACTCGAGCTCGACCCCTACGATCCGACGACGAATTCGACACTCTGGATATCACCACACTCATCCTGCAGGTACGTCTCACCGCCAGTGATCTAGACGGCCCCAATAATGTACTCGGGATCTCCGTTGCATCTTCCGTCTCGGATACCGCATCTTCGTATGGCAGCACGCGAGCCGACTTGGCCTGTTACCGTGCAACGCCTTCCTTCCACGCCCAGCACATTATTAGCAAGCCTAACATGGCGCTAAGCTCTGCATTCGCCTTGAACCTCAACCACGCCCTCTCTCGCCGACATCTATTTCCTTGCCGAACCAGCCTGCCGTGCCTTTGACGCTGATGATCACAACCGAAAAGCAGTAAGCTAACGTGCCGATTATCTCCAGACTTGACATTATCCCACAAGACTACGCTCTTGTCGGTCGTATCCGCATCAATATACGCTACACACTTACACCAGCCTCACAATTTCAGACCTGAACACGATAGAACGGTCCGTGTAGGACCCATCTCTCGATACGATGGCTTCCTCTTCGAGCAATGTCGTCGGCGTACACTACCGCGTGGGGAAGAAAATTGGTGAGGGTTCGTTCGGCGTTATTTTCGAAGGCACCAATCTCCTCAACAACCAGCAAGTCGCCATCAAGTTTGTAAGTATCACGCCTGACGATTCTCGGAGCCCCAATTTCCCGCCAAGACAACTTGACTAAACATAATCAGGAACCTCGAAAGAGTGACGCTCCTCAGTTGCGCGATGAATACCGGACGTACAAGATACTTGTCGGCTGTCGTGAGTTGCCAAACGTCTTTCGCTACGAGATGCAGTGCATTCTAATTTGGAAATAGCGGGCATTCCCAACGA